CCCAGGCCCAGAGTTCAGGCTCCACGACTGGACCAAACAAACAAACAATCAAAAGAAGAAGCCCAAGAGGGACTGGGGTCCCAAAAGTCCTTTGAAGGGTGCTCCCCCAATGACCTAAGCACCTCTTATTGGGCCTCTTAAAAGTCCCACCTCCCACATGGCCCCACTGAAACAAAGCTCCTGACATATGCAACCTGGGGGACAACAAACATCATCCAGATCATAGTGTCTTATGTTCCTGGTACTTTCTGTTTTGGATATTTTGTTTGTTTATTTAGTTATTTATGTAAGCCAGTCCTAGGACTTGAACTCAGGGCCTGGGCACTGTCCTGATCCTCTCTGTGCTAGGCAAGCACTCTACCAATGAGCCACATTCCGACCCCAGGATTTCTTATTGATTCAACTTCTCTCATAGATCTAGACCAATACAGACCAGCTTTTTCTTTGTGTGAATTTTGCTAAATGCTATAACCATTAGGTGAGTGTGCAGTTACTTATACTATTCCTTTTTTCTTTTTTTGGCTGTCCTGGGACTTAAACTCTGGGCCTGGGTGCTGTCCCTGAGCTCCTTTTGCTTAAAGCTAGTGTTCTACCACTTGAGCCACAGAACCACGTTCAGGGTTTTTTTTGTGATTAATTGGAGATAAGAGCCTCACAAAATTTCCTACTTGGGTTGGCTTTGAATCATGATCCTTAGATCTGAGCCTCCTGAGTAGCTAGGATTACAGGCATGAGCCACTGGCAGCGGGCTTTATCACTATTCCTTTAGGGGCTGGGAATATGGCTTAGTGGTAGAGTGCTTTCCTCACATGCATGAAGCCCTGGCTTCAATTCCTCAGTTCCACCTAAACAGAAAAAGCCAGAAATGGTGCTATGGCTCAAGTGGTAGAGTGCTAGCTTTGAACAAAACTCAGTGCCCAAGCCCTGAGTTCAAGCCTCAGGACAGGTAAATAAAAATAAAATAATATACATGGACCAGAGACCTCTGTTTAATTTCTAGTATTAATTAGGAAAGAAAGAGAAAGAGGAAGAAAGAACAAATGAATGAAAGATAGAAAGGAAGGAAGAAAGAAAGAAAGGAAAAGCTAGCTGTACACGTGAGGTCATGCCTATAATCCCAAGTACTCAGGAGGCAGAGATCAGAAAGCTTAAGGTTTGAAGCTAGCACAGACAAGTTATCAAGACTCCATCTTAATTAATAAGCTAGGGGTGGTGGAATCCCTGCTATGCAGGAGATAAAGAAATGAGATCCTGGTCTGAGTCTAGCCTTGGGCAAGAAAGGAAAATGTGACTTTATCTGAAAAGTAACTAGTGCTTAGAGGCAGGGCTGCCAGGATAGAGCATCCACCTGCTAGTGTAAGGCCCTGAGTTCAAACCATAATACCACCGAATAATAATGATAATGACAATAATATTGGTAATAATAATAAGGCCAGGTGAGCCTAGCTAGATATTCATCAATTCATCCATTTTATTTAGCTCTTAAAGAACTAGCTTCTGGCTGGGAAGGTGGCTCAGTGGTAGAGCGCTTGCCTTGCATGCCTGAGGCCCTGGGTTCGATTCTTCAGCACCACAGAAGCAAAAAGAAAAAAGCCGGAAGTGGTGCTGTGGCTCAAGTGGTAGAGCGCTAGCCTGGAGCTGAAGAGCTGAGGGACAGCGCCCAGGCCCAGAGTTCAGGCCCCACGACCGGACCAAAAAAAAAAAAAAAGTCTCAACGGCCTTTCCTGCCTGGGCTGGCTTTGAACCACAATCCTCAGATCTCAACCTCCTGAGTAACTAGGAATATAGGGATGAGTCACCGGCACTTGCAGCCAGAGAAAGCAATTTGTTGTTTGTTTTTTTTTCAGGAAAGACTCAATAACCCACTCAAGGTTTTTCAACTAAAATGGGGCCAGGCTAGAACTTGAACTTAGTCCTGTGCTCTCAGCACCTGGGTATTGATGTCCCTGGAAAGAGAGGTACACATCTGGGTTCTGTCGTCATTGTCCCACATGACCTTACACAAACTGAGTTTTGGAGACCTCACTTTCCTCCACAGCCACACAATAAGACTCTAATGGTAACCTGATGACATTGCTATCTGTCTAGAAATTTTGTTTGTGTAATATCAAATGTCTGAGACCTAGATCACTAAGCCAGATACCGTTTGCCTGGCGCCCTCTGCTCTTTCGTGGTGGGAGGTAGCTGATTATCATCCCCTAGGCCAGCTCCTCCTACAGGGGTTTGCCTTGGGTTGAGCAAGCCCCTGAAAGGCCTCAGGGTTGGCCAGACTCCAGGATAAACTTTGACAGGTCAAGAGATAATGTACGTCAAGGTGAAAATCAGGGAAGTCCTTCTTAAAGTCCGTGCCTAGAGTCAGAGTGGCTCTCTCCGCACCGTTGCCTATCCGCTGCCATGTGGGAACTTGTGGGCCTCCTGCTGCTTACCCTAGCCTATTTCTTTTGGCCGAACAGAAAAACCTTTGCTGCCAAGTACCCTAAGAGCCTCCCATCCTTGCCCCTGGTGGGCAGCCTGCCATTCCTCCCTAGACGTGGCCATTTGCACGTCAACTTCTTCAAGCTACAGGAGAAATATGGCCCCATCTACTCTTTTCGTATGGGCCCCACGACTACAGTGATAGTGGGTCAGCAACAGCTGGCCAGGGAAGTACTTGTCAAGAAGGGCAAGGAATTTTCTGGGCGTCCCCAAGTGGTAAGCAGTGCCTCTTTTTTCTCTTCCTCATCTCTCCTGGGGGTTGTGTGATATGGGTATGTGTGTGTGTGTGTGTGTGTGTGTGTGTGTGTTAGGGCTTGAACTTGGAACCTCATGGTCTCCTTCTGCATTCTTGCTCATGACTGGTATTCTACCACTTGAGCCATGCCTCCAGTCTGGCATTTTGCTGGTTAATTTGGCATAGAGTTCTATAGATTTTTTTTTGTTTTCTTTTTTCTTTCTTTTCTTTTTTCTTTTGTCAGTCATGGGGCTTGAACTCTGGGCCTGGGCTCTGTCCCTCAGCTCTTCAGCTCAAGGCTAATGCTCTACCATTTGAGCCACAGCTCTACTTCTGGTTTTCTGAGTGATTTATTGGATATAAGAGTCTTACAGCCTTTCCTGCCCAGACTGGCTTTGAACTGTGATCCTCAGTTCTCACCCTCCGGAGTAGCTCGAATTACAGGCGTGAGCCACCACACCCAGACAGATTTTTTCTTTTTCTTTTTTTTTTGGGGGGGGGTCCTGTCCTGGGGCCTGAAATCTGAGCCTGGGCACT